ATTTTAATTTGCTCAACAATATTATAGGTACAACCATATTGGTACAACTAATATAATATTATTAAATAATGAGTACTAAGTGTATTCACATACGAGAAAGAAACCTAACCATTTTAATTTTATGTAAATACGGATAGATGTACGGATATACGGATATATGTCAATGTCCATTGACAAATATGATATACGTCCAATGACCAATGTCCAATTTAGCTCATTTACTATGTAATGACAGTGGTTATTTTGAATGGGGGAGGGCTTGAGAGGACATGACATTTTTGACCATTCTCAGACCACGTTAAATTATGGTGAATGGTGATAAATATGCTTTCATTGACTTATCAACATAGATTTATTATCAATGTTTATCATATATTTTAAAAAAATAAGGGAGGATATGACACACACCCCTCCCATTGAGCACACCCCTGCTTTATAATATAAGTTCTATCTTATCCTGTGCACTTTGTTGCCCGGCAACCAATAATTATTATTATAATAGCTTCAAAACCCATGGCAACCATTGATAAACAAAAAATTCCATCGGAAATCTCAAAATAATATATAAATAGATACCATGGCTATGTAGACACACAGACACACAGGAATACATTCATTTTTATATACATTTTGTAAAACGTAATTCTTCGCACTGTCATTTCAGAATGAAAACATTCTTTAGACACCGTCTATCAGAGACTAAATAGCAAGGTATCTGGTGACTCATATACCACTATAATTCTACCTATAAATAAAATAACATATTTTTAGGTATTATATATACATATATATATATTGTCATTAATGAATCGACTATATAATAATTATTGTTGGTACTAATATGATAATGGTTAATTATAGGAATACTGTCATCAGATATAATTTAGGGAATATAATCATCTATTTGTATGCCATGTGTTATATTAACCATATATGATATTTATTATTTCATTGTCAGTATTTTTTTTTATTTTCTTACCTAATTTATTTATCATTTATTTTTACTTATAACTATTGGCTCAAAATAAATATATCATAAGTTATGAAAATCTGAACTTTTAATTTTGGGAGACGTTCCACTGATGTCTACCTAAGAGTGTACGTGTTGTTAATTATTAGAAATATTAAAAATCGTTGGCTTATGATAAATAAAAAGGTGTAGGTATGGCATTTAATTAATAATTAGGATAATTTAATAATATATATATATATATATATATATATATAGGGCTAAAAGTATTTTATGACGCATAGCAAAATATAGACTGGAACGAGTAATTAATAAAGTGAACGGAATGTATAATATTTTTTATTACAGAATTAAATATAATGTTCATAACTTATAAATATAGAGATAATATAGTAATACCTATATAGAGTACCTCGACAGTCAACTGCAGGTGTTTTACTTAAAGACTGTTAACTTTTAAGTAGGTACTTAATTAGTACAATTTAAAATAATACCTAAACAAAATAACCATAATATGCGCTCTAATATTTTCTAATAGTATAAAAAATTAGAAAATAATAACAAAATAAGTTTTTTTTTATATTAATTATTTTTTATTGCATTAATGTTGCATAAAGTATTGTTGAAACCTTAATTAATGGTTCATTAAAATGTAATAGACAAATCACGGGCACTGAATCAAGTTTAGGAGACCATTAGGCATTAACTCACTATTGAATATTGATTCATTGAATGTGATTGCGTTCATGCAACCTATTCATGTAAGTTGTAAGTATACTAAGTTTTAGATTTAAATTGATATTAATTTTAAAAAAAATTAAGTAAAATAACTGAACAATTCATACCAATGTTCCTCATATAAGTTGTTCTTACAGAAACCTAAAAATCTTAAAAATACACATGCACAATTTTTTCTTATAGTAATTTTAAGTTCAAATTTTGATGACATTCGATATTTACACAAAAATAACGATTTTAGTTATTTTGTTTTAGTTTAAAAAATATTATTTGAAATTTGAAACTTATTTTATGTATATTATAATTTATGATGCACTCTGAGATTTTAAAAGTATTTAGATTAGTTTTATGGTAATATTTATACCACGAACCTATCATTTCACACCCTTATACGGTTCCCCGGTATTGACTTATACATTAGTATTGTAGTTATAACTAGGTGGGTACTTAACAGTAACGGATTTTCAACAATTTATTCTTGGGGAGGGAGGAGTGTCCTAAAAAATAATAAGAATTTCAAAGTTATTATTTTATTTTTATTACAAACAAGACGTATTGACTGTATTTTTTTAAAATATATATATTATATCGATGTTTACCCCCCTAAATTGACCGCTGGCACTTAATGTTACATGAAATAATATTGTAGCATAGTATAATATATACGATTTGTCATTTATATAATGTGTATATAATTAGTTCGAATTTATAGATTATAGGCTAACAGACTGTGCCACTTGGAATCTTTTTTCATATACAATTGATTTATCATTGAATTCAAATTTGAATGTCCACCAATACTGAATACAGTATTTTACTCATCTAAATTATTAATTATGCACGAAACCTTCTATACAGACATACAGCAATGAGCAAAGGTGACTTCCCCTGTTTTTTTTATAATTAACACTTATAGTAGAAAAATATTAAATTGTATTCAACTGCAGTGACATAAATTAACAAATGCCGACTGTAAATAAAAATGATCATACAAGTTGTTAAAATTATACATTTATTATAATTATTTAATTGTGTGTAATAAAAAAGTGAATGGTGATTGCATTCGTAATATAACGGTCTAATATAATATAGTTATATAGATTATGGTTTATAGAAGTAAAGATTGTGCCTGTGTCGTATATATTAGGTACAATTATTTATAAATTGTTATCTAAAAGCATATTAATATAAGCAATAAATATACATTGACATTGATATATTTTCGACTTCTCTAAACATGTTTTTTCTTAGTCAAGACCTAATTAAAAGCGCCAGACTTATCACAGTTTTTTCCGAGGAAGCAATTATACTTTATATTTTTTATGTAGACTTATAGACTAACACCCGGTGACAAAAAAATTAGTTTAATCATATTATATTATATAATTTTTGTTCTTAACACTTAACACTGTTAACAGTATATGAATTCGTATTTGTAATAATTAATCTACTTTTCAACCCTATATGTTATTTTTATAAAAGGTACATAGTTTGTAGTGAGTATGTAAAAATGCCAACCCTTTCGCCAACTATATAATACTAATTACTAGCATGTCGCATGTGTATACTGTGTAGTCACTAAAGTCACTTATAAAAAAGCTATAATAAAACTTTAAACTCTGATAATATCGATTTGTTGTTTTAAACTTCACTAATTTGATTTATATTAAATTCAACTAAGTTTAAACTATTAAATAGTTAAACTTAATACAGTGGGGCCCGAGGCCCAACTATTATAGTATAACAGTAACAGGTAGGGTAAAAGTGTAAAACCAACTATCTATATAATTTTCTAATGAGGCAAAGGGTGATTGCCCAACTCGTTAATATAGGGATGGCGTCACCGGACTTGAAAAAAACAATTAAATCTAAGTTTTGAAAAATCCATCTCCGTGTCATAATTTATAATTGATAATAATACGAAGTGTACAAAGCGCGGGCACCGCAGGGTGCAGGCGAGTGCTTTATCTAAAGTAAGATAAATTCCATAATATTATCTACATAAATTGAAAGCACGTGTTGCACGAGTATTTAGTATATAGTATATAATATTTACAATTGGACGATCTAAAAAAAAAAAAATTCAAATCATAATATTATGTTATATAAATTTATAAAATACAACACTGTTTAATGGGGTAGAAATTACTCCCCAGGTTCGTATAGATATACACGTGAATCTAAAAGGGCTGCAGGGTTTTCACCGAACCGAAAGCAACACTGCGGGTGCACGTCGGATCTTATAGTATATCTGGTCCGATCATTTTTACCTCCAACCACCATCATTTACAATATATTACGTACACTGTAAAGTGTCGTGCACAGTGACGTCGGCGGGTGGCAGACTAGTCGCGAGATGGGGTTGGCAGGACGCCTCTAAAGTACACATCGTAAAATCCATACGGCTGTGCAAACAGACGGTCTGACTCCGCAGGCGCATATTTAATTTCCATTGACGGATCGGCGACGCCGCATTATGTCGGTATCAACGACGTCGCCGTCAAGCTTTTGGTCGTTCATAATATTGTTGTTGCAATTTGTACTGTGTTTTCTGGTAATATTGTACGTGGAACAGTTTCGGCGGCGGCGACGCAATTTGAACATCAATTTAGCACGGAACAGGCAAAGGCAAAGGCGACAGCGAGCGGCGGGCGGCGACGCTACGACGGCGGCGGCGGCTGCTGCGGACGTGGAAGGGATCGGTCACGGGGAGCGTGTCGGTTGACGACGGCGGCGAGTCAAAGCCGTACCGTTCTCGCGCTCAACAGGTCCGGCGTTATATTTCCGTGCGCCGTGTGGTTCGCAGCGGATTTAGTGGTGTGCCACATCGCGGCCGACAGACCGTCGACGCGCCCGGTAAATATTCAGCGCGATATCGTGTGTAACGACCCGAAAGATAACAGTATTGTACTATACATTATTATCCGTTGCAGAGTAGATATCGTGCTTATAATTATATAGTTTTCCGCACTTCCGTTCTCCTCAAGGACCAAATATCTGTGCAGTGTACGTGTTTCGTCGCTCGTTCCGTGCACACACATACACACCCGCACCCCACACATACACAATACTACATATTATTATTATTATTATATTATACGTCCATATCATAGTCGTCTCGCGGGGCTAAACGTGAGAGCGGCTCGGCGCGCGTGCGTGGGTGCGTGCGCGTTTGAAACCCGAGCCCCATAAAAAAACGGTTCGCTCGTCTGATCTCCGGCCCGCGCGTGGTCGACGGGTGCCGTGGTACTCGTCCGCGGACGGTTCGGCGGATCACACTCTGCCGGTGGTCATGACGTTCCGGACCAAGGGCCTCAACAAGCAGCAGCAGCAGCAACAGCTACAGCGGGGACAACAGGACTCGCACTATCCCAACAACAATCACCGACAGCACCGGAACCGTTACGACGACGAGGACGGCGGCGGCGTTGACGACAAGACCGGCGCGCCAGCCGACCGTCATCAGCCACCGTCGTCCGCAGCTTTGGGCGGCGGCGGAACAGCTGCGGCTTACGGTCCCCGGCGTCTTGTCGTACAGCACAAGGTAAGCGGACGGCACGCATAAGCGGTATAAGCGTATACGGTATACCTATATAATATATTATACCTACACATTCATTACATACCTACGTTTAAAGGCGGGTTTCCACTATACACGTTTGCCGTGTACACGAAAAATGTTCAGCTATGTCCAACAACACGGTATCGTGGTTAATCGTGTGGTAACTTAACATAACCAACCAATCACAGCAAATGATTCGTATGCACGTGAACGCGTACGTGTATAGTGGAAACCCGCCTTTATTGTTCCTGTTATGAGCGGTATAGACAGCCGAGTACCATATACCTACCCAGGGGCGCATTAAGGGTTCACATATGGGGGGCAAAATTATTTTGCGCCCCTGGTGTATTTTATGAATATTAATGAAAGTATAAAAAACTTAAAAAAAATTTCCTCGCTGCGCTCGAAAAATTAAGTTAGTACCTTACATTTCATACAGTTATTATACCTACATAGATATCTTATTAAATTAATTACTAAATATCTATTTGGAACTTGGAATAATAATCCTTTCTTTTAAAATAGTACTGGTAATTGGAATATTTATAATGTTTATATTTCATTAACTAATAAATACCTCCTAGTAAGCAACTCCTATATTTTTAGTTATTTATGGAGTACCTATGTATTAAGCATTGACTTATAATAATAAATATATCTTTATTCTTTATTAACAATAAAATATTATTACATATTATAAAACTATTTAAATGACAAATATGGAACAATACTAATTAAAATATTTTCTTATTTTTTTGTTCACAAACTCTTTTATAATACTTGACCAATCAATACTTCTAATCATCTCATTTTCTATTGACAGCCATAGGCGCACATTGGGTGTGAATTCAGGGGGTGCTGGGATAATTTATGGTTCACACCTCCTAATCCTAATATTTCTGCATTGCATTAGACTTAATGTTATTTAAGTTTGATAAACAAAAAAAGGTGCTCTGCTGTACAGTAGGGTACAAGTGGGTCCCTGTATAATCGATGGTATTAAATTTGAATTCAATGAAACACTAACATCATTGTATAAGAAAAACGATTCTGAGCGAAGACGGTTAGTCAGCCTATGATATTACTAAGTATATTTGATGATACTAAGGTGAATAAAGCAATTTATATATAACCTATTTACGTAGAATCTTGTTTTAAATTTTCAATCATTAGCTATAAAAGTTGAACATTTTATAAATTTTTAACTATAAAATTATTATAAAATTTTAAATGTGATAAATTTTGTCAAAATTTGAATTTTAAATAATTATTAAAAAAAATTGTGCCTATGTATTTTTAATATTTTTCAAGTGTTATTGTAACAATATAACAGGAGCTTTGCATTAAATTTTCAAGCTTTTTTACCATACAAATAAAATTTTATTGATATGAATAGAAAAAAAAATTAAAATATTGAGAACTGAAAATGTCCGTAAATAGCTCAAAAAGAATCAAAATATTTTCAAAACTATATGGTGTATAGGAAATGCTAATATAAAAATTTAGTAAAATTTTCAAGTATCTACAGTCATTCGTTTTTTAATTACAACAAAATTAGAAAATCGTTACACGAGAAATCGAGTGAATATCAAATGTTGTAAAAATATGAATTTCAAACGTTCATAAAAATTTAATTTGAGATTCTTGTAGACATTTTTTTTTTTTGATAAAGGTAGACAAACTTATGAGGAATCTTGCATTACATTTTCATATCTTACATTTAAAAAGAAAATTTTTTATGAATTTCTAACTCGAAATAATTTGCAAATTTTCGTCATTTTCACGTATTTTGTCAATATTTGGAATTTAAATGCTTATAACAATTTGACCCCCCCAAAGTACCAACTAGATTCACTTTCCTATCAGAAAAGATACTGTTGAAGAAAATCCAAGCACTTTTACTGCCCTAAAAGATAATGACGGACAAAAAAAAAAATGAATTCGTAAACAGTTGTCAATATTTGTAATGAAAAGAAAAATTCCGAACCAATAAACCACGATAGTTTACAAATGATAAGAAATACTGAAATAAACTGAGGGTGCTAGTTTGAAGCTTGCATATAAATGCCCATCTCATACTATGACATAATTTTATATACATAATTTATAACGTTTAATAGTACATTAGTATGATAGTTCTAATTATTATTAGTTGTTTCTTAAACCCGAGTTTTCCATTATGTCATACAATTTGTGTGTTTTCTTTTTGACTCTGAGATACAAAAAAAAAAAAATTACAAAAATGTACCGCCCCCAAAAAACTTCCGCCCGGGGCAAATACCCCTTTTGCCCCCCCCTTAATGCGCCCCTGTACCTACCTGGTACAATATAACCTATACATCATTATTATTATCGTTATATTATATACATGTATACCCAGCGATGTCGCGTGCGTGCCGCGGACGACATCGGAACTCCGCGCGGTGAACCCGGAACGCGACTTTATAGCGATAGTGACACCAGAGAGAGAGAGAGAGAGAGAGAGAGAGAGTGAGTGAGAGAGTGAGCTAGGTCCAAAGTGAGAGGAAACTCTGCCGCTCACATGTACACGCGCGCGCTCGCGGAAACAGAAACCTGTATATTGGAGCATGCCTTTCTCCGGACTCGCGAACGGTCATCGAGAGAGCGGACTGGATGAGATATGATGATGATGATGATGACGGTGGATGATCGTATAATAAATGCCATCAGTCAGCGATCCTAGCTCACAATAACTCTATACGATAATATATTATAATATTATTGTATTATCGTGTGGTGGACAATGGTTGAATCGAGAAATAAAAATTAGAAGTGGATGCTGCAAAAGTAAGCAGGTAAAAAAATCAAGTGCGTATAATACCCTAAGATTTAAATGATGATATTATGACTTATCGATTAGGAGAATTCGGATATTATTATATTAGTAGGGAAACGCTAACATTTTTTTTACGAAAAGAAGAGGTAGACGTACCCCCCCTCCCCACCCCAAAATTTGAGCACTGCGTATAGATCACTCTGCAGACGGCTCGACCACATCATAATACATATAAGTCTCGGCGATCGTCGGACGCGCACGTGCCACGTGATAAAGATTGTCACTGTTCACTCGACCGCCGTAGGTACGTTTATAAAACTTACAATATAATACAATATAATTATTACTAAATAGACACTTAACCGGATACGAATGCTTAGTGTCTGCAGAATGGGTTAGCTCGTTGACGGTAAATCATTGTCGTCGTATGGTATATTCATCGTTTCGTCGCTAACATATGGTATATCCGCGCCGAAGTCTCGGCGGGAGAACGGACGCACCCCGTCCGGGCCACCCGATCGGGAGGAACCGCCGCCGCCGTACAACCGTTCCCCATCGATTCCCACCCGCTTTTACGTATAGTATATACGTATAGTCCGTTGCCGAGCGCTCTCGCGGAAAATCAATTTTCTCGATGTTTCACTATATTTAATATTTATACATATACTATATACACCTATATAATATATATAATATAATATATATATTATATGTGTGTGTGTGTGTGTGTGTGTGTGTGTGTGTATGTATTATAGCGTTATGTTTTTTTGTTCGTGTATAAAGCCATATTATATCTATGACCTGATCTAGGTACTAGGTAGTGTGAAAAAATTGTTTAAATTGAAAATAAAAAATTCGCATTAAATTCGTGTAATAAATATAAATTATACGTTTTATGGGTAGGTACATCGGTCGTTTCTGTAGAAACTATTATTTTAGACCGATATTATTAAAATAGAGAGTGAACAGGTACAAAACACATTATTTTGTCGGATGATTTCATAATACCTATAAAATCACTCGTTATAATATTTTCATTTTTCCTTGGAAACTTTGTTCGAAATTGTTCAACAAGTTTTGCACAGGGGTTGAGGGGCGCGGTTAAACCGCGAGTTGTCGCGTTGCGGTGCCGTCCGCCCGCCCATATTATATTATTATATATTTATTACAATATTATATTATATACATAGTTTTTATATGGCTCTCAATACATATTATATACCCGCATTTTCACTGATCGTTTCATCTATATATTTATAGGTATATATATACTCAAACATTATATAGTCAATGCACCGTAGTCCGTACCTATATTATAATCGCCACTTATTAACCGCACAATTTTATTGTTTGTCGCGGAAAATTGCATTTCCATACGGAAGTTTTATCGTTGATTATGACGTGTACCCACGCGATCGTGAACCTATCTACGGCTTTACGTCTCGGACTGATTCATTTGACAGTCGTTGTTGCTCCGAACAGAATTTATATACGGTAGATATATCATACAGTAGGTATATAAATTCTTAATACCTAACGTTATAACTATATAGTTTTTTAAAAATATTATTGACGTTGACGGTTGTATATTTTTTATTTTTATCGTCGATACAAGTATCGTATATTATACTGCTAACATAATATACAGACTGCAGTCGCGTTACCGAATAACCTTTCAGCCTATAATATAATATTATTATATTCGTTATGCTCGTAACGTGTACCTATATATATTAGCTGCAAATCATATTTCTGTAACTGCACAAAGATGACATCAATATATTTTAAATTAATCTGTACGAGTGTAAAACGTAAATGCGAAGCAAACATATGTTTACGTGCGGATACGCCTTAGAATGCTCAGTAGAATCTTGAGATATAAATGTTCATGATGTATGTCGCACGCACAAAGAAAAGTAAAATAAATCACTTATAAATAATGGTAGTCACGGATGAAAAGCAATGAAATTGACCGCGATATACCAAAATGTGTATTCATATAATATTATATCAATCATTGGCCATTGCATGCTTCTGACTGCGTCTTAGAGATCGATAGATTATTTCTATAATCTGTCCAAACAATTTTTAAATATTATTTTTAGAGTGTGTACACCTAGCGGGCATTAGTATTGTAATTATTTGTTGTTAGGTAGGTATATTATTATAATAATTCATTTATTTA